AAAGACAGAGACGAAGACAGAGACGATCGTCACCAAATCGTCTCTCTCTTTTTGGTAGTTTTAGCAATAATAGATTGAGAATTTTTCGTTATTTGTAAGTTCTGGATGTCACAGTAGGGATTGGTAAAAAGAGATGAGCAAAAGAAGAAGAAGAAGAAAAATATTCTCAATTGTGGTAATTGTGGGGGAAATCAGGGCTGAATTGAATGAAATGGAGGAAGAAGGGGAATGGAATGGAGGAAGAAGGGGAATGGAATGGAGGAAGAAGGGGAATGGAATGGAGGAAGAAGGGGAATGGAATGGAGGAAGAAGGGGAATGGAATGGAGGAAGAAGGGGAATGAAATGGAGGAAGAAGGGAATGGAATGGAGGAAGAAGGGAATGGAATGGAGGAAGAAGGGAATGGAATGGAGGAAGAAGGAGAATGAAATGGAGGAAGAAGGGGAATGGAATGGAGGAAGAAGGGGAATGGAATGGAGGAAGAAGGGGAATGGAATGGAGGAAGAAGGGGAATGGAATGGAGGAAGAAGGGGAATGGAATGGAGGAAGAAGGGGAATGGAATGGAGGAAGAAGGGGAATGAAATGGAGGAAGAAGGGAATGGAATGGAGGAAGAAGGGAATGGAATGGAGGAAGAAGGGAATGGAATGGAGGAAGAAGGAGAATGAAATGGAGGAAGAAGGGGAATGGAATGGAGGAAGAAGGGGAATGGAATGGAGGAAGAAGGGGAATGAAATGGAGGAAGAAGGGAATGGAATGGAGGAAGAAGGGAATGGAATGGAGGAAGAAGGGAATGGAATGGAGGAAGAAGGAGAATGAAATGGAGGAAGAAGGGGAATGGATAGCACTCACGAAATGGGAAGTTAAAGGAAAAAGATGGATGGAGTTTGGATTTTTGAAATTTTAAGAAAATCATTCAATTTTAGGCATTAATGAGATTCAGAAATATAATATTCATTTGAGGAAATGAAAAGCGGAAAAAAAATCGAGGGGAAGAAGAGCTTTATGAGATTTTCGCTCAAAGATTGCTTTGAAATTAGAAATTGGGAAATCATGAAAAGCTTTTAAAAGAAAAGTTTTGCATCAATAACATTGAGGGTTTCATTGCAAATGAATGAGACAAGAAAACGAACGTTTTTCCAAATGTTTACATTCAAATAAGCAAACTTTCAAAGAAAGAAAAAAAGGATTTGAGATTCTAAATCTTTTAGAATATGGATTGGGAGTAAAGCAAAAATCAGAATTTGATAAATAAATATTCTGATAAATCAGAATCCGATAAAAGATCAGATAAAGTTGTAAAAATTGGCTAGACTTTAAATACCATATTCTCTCTAATAGTAGTGCGCACTACTATTTTTTCAACCCCCTCCTGGACCGCAATACTATTAGAGAGTGCACTACTATTAGAGAGAATACGGTATTTCACCAGAACCCACATGAACCACACTCATCAGTGTGGTTGTAAGCAAAAGTTGTAAAGCTAGACTTTAAATCAGCTTTAATTCAGTCAGTCAGCTTTAGTCGGCTTTAACTTTAGTTTAAATAAACTATCGTAATTTTGAGATTTGAAATGATTTGAGTTCTGAGATCTGAGATCTAAAATCAAAATTTCAATTCAAATTTACATTTAAAACTTTTCAATTTGTTCAAAATTGTGAACTTTCTGAAAAAAAAAGTTGAACAAATCTATGACACTAAATTGGGAGTTGAGAATTTCGAGAGAAAAGATGAGGGAAAAAATGGGGGGAAGACGATGATTTGTGAGGGAAAAATTAGAGTCAAAGGGGAAAACGAAATAGTGACCTTGAGGATTTATTGAGGAGATTGAACTTTATTATTTATTGAGGATGGAAATTTATTGAGGAGATCGAAAGACTTTTCAGAACTTTTTAGACCATTTTCAAAGATCAAATCGAGTTCTTTTAGGGAAATTATGCAAAGCTGGAAGGCACGTGAGCGAATTGGAAAGATGGAAAGATGGAAAAATGAGAAAGAGACTTTTTGGAATCACGTTGGATTAGTTACCCAATTCTTGAGTTAACTCGAATCAAGCCGAATTCTAGTTCAATTTTGGTTTTATTCGCTTTTGAGATGAACGTTCAAAAGCCACGTGGTTACCTTGAAACTCTAAATTTTAAATTTCACGGCAACTCAACCGAGAAAACCTTCGTGTCTCAAAAACATCAAAAATCTTGAAATGGATGGAAAATATTTTGTGAAACTTTGAAATTATGGGTTGCACCGGGATGGTTTTCTGTAAAAAATTGCGAAAAAAACACGATTTTGTCAGATGGTAATTGTAGGTAGACGAAAAGTGAGCCTACAATTGTAGGTAAACGAAAATGAGCGGCGTACAACAAAGATAATCTTTTGAAAAGCTCTTGTGCACTCCAGGAACTTCGGAAATCCTTGAAATTAGATGGATTTTTGGGGAAAGATCGGGGGAATTTGAGTGTATCTGGGTAGGGGGAGGAGGGAGGGGCAGGGAGGGCAGGCAAGGGTGGGTCGGCAAACATCCACCCGTTCCCACTCAAGGGATCATCCTTGGTCTTTGTCATCCATCGTAGTTTTGATTCAGGAGGGACAAAGAAGATGAATGTTTTGGTGGAAATGAGTGACGTCATCGTGTTCGAGTTATGTCGGAGTTGTTGAAATATTCTCGAAATCAAAATCTAAAACCCTCAAATTGTGAGGTGACATCCAATTTGAGCAAAAAAAATCGAAAATGGTAGGGATTATGCTGTAAAATTGGAAAATTGGTAGCGAACTAGGTTTTGAGTGACGTCATCGTGCTCGAGTTGTTGAAATATTCTGGAAATCAAAATCTAAAACTCTCAAATTGTGAGGTGACATCCAATTTGAGCAAAAAAATGAAAAATGGTGGGGATTATGCTGTAGAATTGGAAAATTGGTAGCGAACTAGGTTTTTGAAAAATACTATTAGAGAATTTTGTACTTTGAACACTCAAAGATTGGTAGAAATAAAGAAATCCCACTTTCCACGATCATTAACATGAGCACATTTCTCTTTTCTTCAGTTATGCAAACCCGGAAATCCTTTTGCTATACGAGTTTTGCATTTGGGAAATCTTTTAGTTTTAAATTTCATTTTTAACAAAAAAAAAATCATTTTCACGTGTTTTCTTCACAAATTAGTGAATTCTTCGAATTTTAAGGATCATTATTTAAATCCCTAGAGAATTTCGACTATATAAACGATCGAAAACAATCACCAAACCGACACATTTCAATTTTTCGTTTACTTTTTTTGATTTTTAACTTACTGTAGGGTTTAAGACAGTTTTTTTCTTTAATAAGAAATTATAACAAAACTAATGACGACAAAACTAACTATAAAACCTTAAAAACGTTTCAGCTTAATTTTTATCGAATCTATTAACGGATAGAAAAGTTAATGAATGGATGGAAATAGAAAAGCTGATGAATGAATAGAACTAAAACCAAGATTACGGTAGCTATGTTTAACGGATTAGTTCAGAAAAGCCAGGATTATTTCAACTGGGTTAAACCGAGCTAGCTAGATCAGAAGAGATCTGATCTGGATTCTGACAAGCACAGTAGCTTTTGTGAGCTATTTCTTTAAAGTCTACTCACAATCAAGCCATAAACCAAGTCAATATCAACCTTCTCATTTGGAAAACAACCCTGATAATGAAAGGCTTTCAATTCAAATCCATTAACAAAAGTCTTTGATTTTTATTAATGGATTTAAATTGTTCCATCTGGATTAAACCAAGCTAGCTACCAGATCAGAAGAGATCTGATCTGGATTCTGATAAGCACAGTAACTTTTGTGAGCTATTTCTTTAATAGTCCACTCATAATGAAGCCAGAAACCAAGTCTTGATCAAGCTTCTCATTTGGAAATACAACAACCCTGATAGTGAAAGGCTTTCAATTCAAATCCATTAACAAAAGTCTTTGATTTTTCATAGGCAAGCATCTAAACTTACTTTTGTTGTAAATTTTTTGTTTTATATTGTAAAACTTGGCGATTGTTCGTTCATTTTCCAGGAAATTTCACATTTCCACGTTATAGAAATAATAGATTCTTCCAAAAACTGATTTGCGTCATAATTTGTTTTGGTTTTTGAAGCTAAAGAAATAAAGTTGATGACCTCAATTTTTAATTTTAATTTTTTCATATATAATCCGATATTTTGCAGAGAAAAAAAGGGGTAAAAAAGAACAATCCTTTTTTGGGAATCTATTTTTGGTTATTTTTGCTTATTTTTGGTTATACTTTCTTTTTATTCGTTAGTCATTCTTCTAGTTTTTTAAAGTTTTAATTAAACCTTTGTTCTTTGCTAGATGTCTCTTGAGAATTCAAAAAAATTAGGCATAAAGTTTTCTTTTTAATTTTTGAGAAAAGATTTTAATCATTTCAATCATAAATCATTTCTCAAAAAATGTCTTTTTGGGAAAGTTACCGTAGTTTTTCTCAATCTTTTCTCAAATCTTGGGGTAGGCTAGTTTCCGCGACTTTTTTTTTGCGCAACAGGGTTATTTGCGCAACTGCGTCGTTTGCGCAACTCGCCATAACTTTTTTCTAAGTGGGCCAATCTTTATGATTTTGCTTTCATTTTGTAGATCTCAATAAGTGCAACAAAATAACACTAAAAGCATAAAGATTGAGCGACTTAGAAGAAAGTTATGGTGAGTTGAGCAAACGAACCAGTTGCGCAAACGACCCAGTTGCGCAAATGGCCCAGTTGCGCAAATGGCCCAGTTGCGCAAATGGCCCAGTTGCGCAAATGGCCCAGTTGCGCAAATGGCGGAAACTATCCTACCCCCAAATCTTTTCTCAATCTTTTCTCAAGTCTTTTCTTAAATTCTCAAAAAGCTTTTCTCAATTTCAAATAAACCAAAAAAACGTTACCGTAGTTTTAAGGAGTTTCAAAGCTTTATTTACTGTAACTTTTAAAGTCAATAGGTTAACAGAAAACATTTCAAAATCTAAACCTTTATTTTGTTCAGGATGATCGCAACTCGCTTTACATCTTTCACTTTGGTGGTTCTTCTCTGTTTCGTCGTCATGCTCGCTTACACAACAGCCCAGGTAACAGTTTTTGATTTCATTTGATACTACAGAATTTGATTTTATTTAAATATCAAATAAAAACAGATAGATTATAAAAGTGAATTATAAAGATTAGAGTTTGGTTTATTGTAAATTGAGATTTTTCGTTCAGATTTCTCATTCAGATTCAATGCCAGTATAAGTGCAAATCTAGATCTCAATTTTCACTCATTTCAACATTCTAAAATATTGAATGAATTCCAGTTCGATGGTTTTGATGATCGGGCCAAACGAATGCACTCATTGCGCTTGTTCAGGAACAGCAAAATCTTCGCGAAACCAAGCGGCGGTAAGCGCTTCTTCATGCCCGGTTTCTATGGTCCAGACGATCTCTGAATACAGAATTCAGAGACTTTTTGATAGAAAAGAATGAGATTTCTTGAAAAATAAAGCTTTCTTGTTGTTTTTCTTGTTGAAAAATTGACATTTAACTAGCACAATATGCTTTAAAAACATTTTTTTCGATCACAAACGACAAAACTTTGCGTAATGCATTCCAATTTGTGCTTAGGATGAAGAAAAAAGGTGTGACACAGCACCGAGACACAATGAGAAAGAATTCCTCGAAAATGAATCGATTCCACGATGATTTGTCATTAGAAAGATGAAATCTGGAGTGCACAGAAATGATTGGGGAAAGAAAATTTCGTGTTAGATGAAATCTGGAGTACTGGAGTACTGGAGTACTGGAGTACTGGAGTACTGGAGTACTGGAGTACTGGAGTACTGGAGTACTGGAGTACTGGAGTACTGGAGTACTGGAGTACTGGAGTACTTTGTTTTATTCGTTCCCACAGAAATGATTAGGGAAAGAAAATTTCGTGTAGCTTGTAATCAGAGGAAATGAGATTGCGAAATTCTTTGACCGTTTTTCTTTTTCTTTCTCGTTGCAATCTTTTTGTTAGCTTTTCTGGATCGCAGTCTTTCTATTTTTTCTCGTAGAAACCTTTTGCGCGCTTTTTTTTGATCGAAACCCCTGAAGGGGAGGAGTGGAGTTGCTCGACTTGTTTGCTCGACTGATTTTTCACCCAACACTCTTTTCGCGTTCCACACCAGCGCCTATTTGGAAAAAGAAAAAGTCTTTTCTCCAGACAAACCAGACTGTTTTTGTTTATTTCTTAAAGTTTTCTTTTTTCTTTTCATTGAAAAACAGTTTATGGACTTCGAAATGGAACTTTTTATTCTCTGTAAAGATTTATTTTTGAGTAAACGTCTTAAAATCATTGTAAACTTTTAAAATTTCTGTTATTCTTAAAGCCAGATTTATTCTGGAAGGCACAGAAGCTGTTCCCGACAAAATTAAGAAAAATCTTGGACTTTGAAAAACTTTAATATTGTAATCATTTTATTCGACATCAACTTAAAATTTTGAAATTGGCATCCTTTTATGCAATCGAATTACCGTAGTGACAGCCATAGTTGGCAAAAATTTAGGTCAATTGACCTGGACCATATTGGAACCATATTGGAACCGTATCTGAACTATATTGGAATCATATTGGAACCGTATCTGAACCATATTGGAACCATATTGGCTATGCGAGTTAAACTATGCGAGCTTATTTTGGAAAGATCGCTGAATTCATTGCACAGTCAGCTGGGGTCAACCACCACCTCCATAGTCAGCCTTCCCTTTTCCCTCTCCACTTCAATGTTGACCTCCAGATCGTCGATTCTCCCGCTTTCCTTTCGTACTTCTCAACTTCGTTTCATTCTTTTCTAGGCGATCATCGAATAGTCCACACCTGCACTCTTTCCCACTTTTCTCACAAGTAGTCTCTGTTCTCCGTGCACTTGATCGTTTTCAGTCGATGTTTCAAAGTCGAATCAAGATTTCTTTCTGACTTTCCAGTTCTACAGAAATCACAAATTTCTAAATTTCTTCGATTTCCCGGTCTTGTCTTCTCTCACTTTCCCAATGTACGTCAATCGATGACATTTCATCTTTTTCCGAAACTCTTCCAATACTTATGGCTTATCGGGAAATTCGGGGACTCTTTTCCCGCCCTCTCCCCATTTTTGTGACGAGTGACACACCTTTTTGGAGACAACAAAATTCCTGTCAACAAATCACATGTTTTGTAATCAATTTTGCTCTAATTTTTTTATTGTGCCGCCCAGGATAATACAGGGTATCCCCATATTCTTTTGGTTTTTGAGAAAATCCTTTTGTAGAGCGCAACACTATATATGGGACACCCTGTATATATAAAACGTTAGGTCCATCTGTCCGTGCGTGGCAATTCATTTGGAGCATGAGCGATTTGGCTGAAATAGTATCGTGCCCCATATTGTAATAGTATCGTATCCCCATATTGTATTAGTATCGTGCTTAATGCATCTTTTTGACTTTCTAAGACAATTCATTAACCTAAGCTGAAAAACAAGAATTGATCATAAAATCTACGTGCAATTTTACATAGAATAGATGAGCCATAACATTTTTAATGACTTTGACAATCCTAGACGAGGAATACAAAAAATTCTATGCGGCACGCTGCTGAAAAACAGTTAAATTCGAGTTTAGGGTTTCTAAAAAATCGTCTTTTTCCATCTTTTTCCATCTTTTTCTGAATTAATACGTTTTTATAGTTAATTACTATAAAAGTAAGTGCTTTTTGAGCACGATTATTGCAAACGCGAGGTTATCTTGGCTAACAGAAATGGGACAAATTTCAATTTTTTTCGAGAATGTTTAAAGTCTTATATGAAACGAATGAAGTTTTAAATTTCTACACAAACTAATGGAAAAATGTTCGTAGATTTTAAATATCTAAACGAAAAAACTGTCAATTCTGGTTTTTGAGAAAATCCTTTTTGTAGAGCGCAACACTATATATGGGACACCATGTATATAATAAAACGTCAGGTCCATCTGTCCGTGCGTGACAATTAATTTGGAGCATGGCCGATTTGGCTGAAAGCTTGGGAAATAAAGACTTAGTTAAACGTTAAAGGTCAAAAGACATCATGTTTTTACGTTTATTATGCTCAAAGGATACTTCACTCAAAATCTGAGCGGATTTGGTGGAAAATTGAATCATTACAAGTCGTTCATAAGTTTTTTTTCACCTAACATATCACATTTCTACGTTTATTACGCTCAAAAAGTGTTTTCCTCAAAGTTTCAGCTCATTGGATGCTGAATTGAAAAATTTATCGGCACTCAAAAGATTATGCATGCACCATACTACGTTTTTACGTTTATTATGTTCAAAGAGTGTTTTCCTCAAAATTTTAGCTCATTTGGTGCAATATTAAACCTTTACGAACATTATTAAACTACAAAGTGTATTCAGGGTATGGTCCTGGTATTGCTTTGAAGGACAATAGTTAGATCGCGATATTGTGCCTTCGAAGGAGGTGTTCGGTCCGGCGTTAATCACGCCGAGCATCCCAATACGTCTCATGTTGCTTTGAAAAGTATTCGTGGTACTCTTACATTTAAAACTTGCCCCCTACTTTGCCAGCTTTTGAGAATAAGGAGTTTTTTGTAAAATTGACGAAATCTATAGATTTGTTGGGGATAAGTTTTCACTTCTCATCCCCTAGAGGCAAAGATTTCTGTCTTTTTCTGCCAATGCTATCCATTCGCTTTCAATCATCAACAAAAAGTCTAAAAGACTTTTCTTTTCTTTTCAATAGTCGTGGATCGTGTGCACAAAAGCTGGGTAAAGGGGAGGGGTGGGTAAAAGAGCCAGGGTAGGAGGACCGGTTTTAGAGTTTTTCATCTCCAATCCTGCCCACGCCTCTCTTTCCCCCTCTTTTCCCTCTTTTCCTTCAGCTTTGGCATTCCGAACTTGAAAATTGATTACGACAAATGGGAGATCGAAATTCATAACAATTTGCTTCTCCTCAATTCTTGTGCTTTCACAAAATCTAAGGTTTAAAATTAATTTTTATGAATTTAAGAACGCAGAAAGTAGGAAAATGTTCAAAAATCTGAATAAACGGCAGTGTTTGAAAACTTAGCTATCGCCTACCTATCGCTTACCTATCGCTTACCTATCGCTTACCTATCGCTTACCTATCGCTTACCTATCGCTTACCTATCGCTTACCTATCGCCTATCGCTAAACTTACCTATCGCTATTGATTTCCTCATTTTTTTGGTCTAAACGAGTTACAGTTATGAGTTCAACTCTATTTTTGTAAATCCTGGATAGCATTTAACTCAAAAAAAACTTCATTCTGAACATGTTTACCTTGATCTAAACGCTTGTCAAACAAACGACAACAATTGGACAAATAAAGGCAATTCATGCACATCTGTTCTCTTTCAATTCAATTGTCACTCGTTTCTTTTTCCTTTCACATCACTTGTTCTTTTTTCCCACATTTCTTTGGAGAAAATAGTAAACAACCGGTTTTATGTACCATCTTTCATTTATTGATGCGATTAGGTACGTAAATTGATCGAGAATCGATTGCTCTCTAGAGTGTTGTCTCTACTGTGTTGTCCTCATTTGTCAGTTTGTCAGTTTGTTCAAATTTCAAATCCCAATGCCCCTTTTCCCTCGATAGATCATTTGAGAACAAAGAAAAATGATGAACGTTCGACCCAGCGATAATTAATATTGAACGAGTGTTGTGCGGGGTGTGTATGAGACGCAATTCCGCCGATGTATTCGTGGATACTGGTTGTCAGGAAGAGGGAATTCGCTGAAAGAGAAAAGAAGGCGGTGTTCATTTTCCCTCTTTCTGTTCTCTTCCTTCCCCTCTTGAAGGGGAGGCTCTCGGTGTGCCCCCCGTCCTTTTCCACCCTCAGCTGACTATCGATTGACGGCACTACCACTGTCGCACTCCCCTCTTATCCCTAGGCCACTTTATTTTATCTCCTTTATTGCTTTTTAAATGTTTTCTTCAGAATTTGACCTAAGATCTCTGTTAATAGTTTTCCCTTTTCCAATCGATTTCTCCCCAATTTGACCTAGATTTCGACAAAAATATTGTTGAGTCATCACCGTGCATTCTATCTTTCTCAATTTTATTTCTTTAAACTTGGCTAGTTAATTTTTTTTTCAGGAGCAATGTCGATCTCGACGATTCGGCGGCAAGTGAAGAACGTGGCCTACAACTTCTCCGATGCTCAAGTCAAAGTTCGAGAGGCTACAAGGTATAACTGTTTGAATTATTGTGGATCAGTTATGAAGCTTAAGCTTCCGGAATAACTCTTAATTAAGTAAATGGTTAGGTACTAAGGCAGTTGGGGGGGAGGGCACTTAAAACTTTCTCAAATGTAACTTTTCTAGGATAAATTGATGGTAAATTTAAATTGATAAATTGATCACGGAAAAAAACATTTTTAAGTTATACTTTCAATTAAAAATTTATGTACTGCCGTTATATTTGGTAGTTTGTGGCCCTTAAGAGGGCCGTTGGGTTGAGCTTGGTGCCAGGCGCCTACATTTTTCTAGGCTTTAGCTCCACACCTTAGAAACACGTCGTACCCAGGTTAGCCTGATTCTCCTACGGCTGAGGGGAGTTTTGTACAAGAAGCGCGTGGCTCTTATAAATTTACTAAAGTACCTTAGGATCAAAGCATCTCTGTTACGAAACTCACCTCAGTCGTAGGAGAATCAGGCTAGCCTGGGTACCACGTGGTTCTAAGGTGCGGAGCCAAAGCCTAGAAAAATGTAGACTCCTGACTAATACTCAACATAACGGCAATAAATAACTTTTTAATTGAAAACATAACTTAAAAATGTTTTTTTGGGGATCAGCGCCATCAACTACCTTAGAAAAACTACATTTGAGAAAAATTTAAGGGCTCTCCCAACTGCCTTAGTGCCAATGGCTAAAAAGAGGCGTCAGAACGTTTAGAGTGCTATATTGTGTTAATTTTTTTTCTGTAGCAACGATCCGTGGGGCCCATCGACGGCGCTTATGTCGGAGATCGCCGACTTGACGAACAATCCGATGGCCTTCACCGAAATAATGAGTATTGTCTGGAAGCGGTGAGAAATTTATTCGGTGGATTAGTTTATTGTTCTTTTTAGATTAAACGATCACGGGAAAAATTGGCGCCACGTCTACAAAAGCCTCGTCCTGCTCGACTTCCTGATTAAATGCGGCAATGAAAAAGTATGGTTGTAAATGCGACTCTTTGGTTTACGAATTACCTATTTTGCTTGTTTTAGGTTGCTCAGCAGTGCCGCGAGAACATATATTCGATCGAAACGCTGAAGGACTTTCAACACGTCGAGGACTATCGAGATCAAGGATTGAACATTCGAGAAAAGGCGAAGCAAATGGCCGCATTGTTGGCGGACGATGAGCGACTCAAGAATGAGCGAACACGCTTTATGCTCACGAGGAACAAGTAAGCATAAACTTTGTAATAGTAATAAATTAAGAAACTATGAAAGTAATAAGCTAATTTGATAATGATTTCTACTTTAGATTTCGACAAAATGGCGCGGGTGTCGGATCTGAGGTGCGTACAAGACGTCAGGAACAGAGTGGGAGCAGAGGAGTTCGTAAGTTATTAAGTGTTCTTTCTGATTATAGTCTTGCTTTAGCACCAACCGAGTTTGACGATGCTCGTCCTTCATCGCTTGGAGAAGAAGAAATGCAACTACAGATCGCGCTAGCGTTGAGTCGGGAAGAAGCTGAGAAAGCGAGTGAGATGGAGAAAAGTGACGACATTCGGTTACAGGTATTTGTTAGTTGCGTTTTAATTAAATACAAAGTATCTGAAAGGAATGTACTCAAATATTTAAGATTTTCTTCTTTAGATGGCGCTCGAGGAAAGCAAACGAGATGCTGACGAGATGTCGAAGCGAACGATGGGAACGGTGAACTCTGGTCAACTCTCGCAGAGCGCTGTCGATGATCTTCTCTCATTGGGACTTGGCGATCTCGTGGTTTGTTTAAAGTAGTCAAAAGTTAATTCAATTCTTTTAGGTTAATGATCCAAATCAGCCAACAAGCTCAACGGCATGGGGTGGCACGCAAATCGCCGATCCGTGGGCTTCACCTCCACAATACAATAACACACCCGCGTATCCAACTTCAGGTGTGAATTAATCTGTTAGAACGATAATCTCTCTTGTTTTAGCTCAACTAGCGTTAAACGATCCATGGGCTCCATCGACTCCCCAAGCACATGCTCCAGCCGCAACACTCGCGTCGAACGATCCATTTGCTGCCTGGGATGCTGGAGTGACGAATGGAACGAATGGAATGGAAACTCTGCAGGTTTGAGCGAAATACAAATATAGTGAATGCAGTGATACCACTTATTTAAACCACTCCTTCACTAATTGTTGTGATATATCTAGTTTCAATATTCTCACACGCCAACCACAATCCCATCGGCTCCAACTCATCCACCATCATCTCCTTCATTCAATGGTTATACGCATAACGCGAATGCAAACGTTGACTATAGTTATCTGAATTGGATGGTGAGATCTGTCCACACGGCTTCCCCCTTATTTGTCAACAAAAATTCTGTTTATGTGTTGATCAGTTCTACAACTTTCTATAACATTATGTATCTTTTTATTTTAGCCAACTCCCGCCAATCAAACGCTCTCCAACAATGGTTTTTCGGCTTCGGCAATGAATGCTTCAAGGAAGACGCCCGAGAACTTTTTGGGAGAAAACTCGAATCTCGTCAACTTGGACAATTTGCTTGGAATCACGAATACGAATTCTACTGGTAAGGATTTGTAAAAGAAGTAAATATGTAGTGAAGTTTTAATGATAAAACGTATAAAATATTTCGTTTAAGCTGTTTCAAATCCGTTCATGCTGGGCACAGCGACTCCTCCGCCATCGAATCCATTCAACGCTCAACGCAACAAGTCGCCAACACTCAACGAGATGCGAGCTGGTGCTCCGCCAATTCCACAGGTGAACTTTTACCCGTTAAAAGCACAAACCTAACTTTAGAATTAGCGCAATAAAGATAAATAAATTAGTCGTAGGATTACAGTTGACTTTAATATCATTATTGTTTAGGTTGGACCTCGAGTCGGTGCTTTACCTCAACCCCTTCAGCCATCGCAAACTCCGAATCCATTTGCCGGCATCTGAACATGATCGACAACTCCTCTCTTCAGAACTATTGTGTATTTTTATCGAGTCTAAGTCTTATATTATACTGTGAATGCAAAATTCCCCATATTTCACATACATGTTGTCTTTTTGGAAGTTTTCTCTCCAAATTGTTGTGCTCAAAGTGTTCCTTTTTGTCGCTAATACTATTTCTGATATTGTTTTCATCAATTTGCCTTCACATATTTTTTACGATTAACCCTAAAAGAGGGCATTTTTTCACTAAGAATTTACCAAAACGTTTTCCATTCTTAAATTTCATTGTGCAACGTGTAGCTGTTGGGAATTTCTATCTATCTTTGCTGTACTTTTGTTCAATTAACTGAAATTTGGCTTTTTGAATGGAAAAGCCTCTAATTTAACCATTTTTGTGCTAAAACGAAATTTTTTTCATTCTAAGTGAAAGTGCCAACATGGAGCTTTTCTATAAAACGCGGCAGCTCTCTTTCTCTGCACTCCTCTTCCTTTTGCCCTTTTGAAATCCAAAAAAGACCGGAATTTTTGAACACAAAAGCTATAAATTCTTGTGTTTTTGTTAATTTGTAAAATTTTTACCAGTTTCACCATTACCCATTCTAAGCAAATACTTCCTTTTGTCAATTGTGTTTTTTTTCTTGGATTGTGAATGTGCTATGAAGGGTTTTTGTGGTAGATAAAGTCTTCTCATTTAATTGCGAATTTCCTTGATCAAAGTTTAACAGCTCGATTTTTATTTAAAGTTGACGGCAGATAGGAAATGATTTTATTGTTATTTTAGCGAAAATTGGATGGCGTATCGGGGGAACATGCGTGGAAGTCCAAACAACGGTCCTCATTTTGGGTAAGGTTTTGATACCTTTTTTGCAGAAGGCAACCGTGGTGTTGATGATCGTTTAAATTACAAGTGCTATTTGTAAAATTCGGAAGATTAGTGACCATCCTTGGAGGCAAATGACACATTTTGAGGGTTGAACGGGCCGCTTTGGTTAACTAAACGTTTTCTTAGGAAACGAAAGACTTCCATTCATTCATTTATTAATGCTAAAAAGTTTGTTTCAGCTTAAAAAGATATTAAGCTCGACTAATTGTTTGATGATGAAACAAGATACTTTTGCAGTAGATGCTAAAATTACGTTGGACAAGAAATTAATTTCCTTTTTTTTAGACAAATTCTCGAGCAACAGAATGACAACAAAGTTGACGATTTGGCCACAAAAGTCTCTGCGCTTAAAAGGGTTAGTTTTGGTGTTTTTTTAAAATTTAATAATTTATTTTTAGATAACATTAGATATCGGCGAAGAGGTGCGGTCACAGAATCGATTATTGAATGACATGGACACTGAATTCGACTCTGGAAAGGTTGGGATGTTTGTGAAAAAGTTAACACAACGATTTGCCACTCTTAAAAATAGAGTTTGAACAAAACGAAGTTGTTAAACTCAGAAAAAAGTATCAGAGGCAGCTCGATTTTCTTTTTAAGAATATCGGAGTGACTAATCATGGTCTTAAACTACTTTAGTTGCGGTCTGCAATAAGTACAATGATCAATTTTAAAATATAACTAATAATAAAGGTTCATTATTAGAAAGTTTTGCAAAAAAAAATAGGCACTCTAATTATTTTGACTTGGTTGATTAATTTGTTTAGCTTTGCCTTGCAAAAGAAATTCAGGTCGATTACCAAGGTTCTAGTAAAGTTAGAATTGTATACATCAATCAAATAGACTTCATCGTTATAACTTTTTCCATTTCAGGGCCTTTGCAAGGAGCGATGAGACGTTTGGGAATCGTTGGTCGAAGTGGTGGAAAGAATATGTTATTGTATCTCATTGGTTTCTCACTTTTTGTCTTCTTTGTCATTTATTGTCTAGCGAAAAGCGGGTAAAGTTTCCTTACAGCTTTATTTATGATACTTATCGGCTTATTTGAATCGTTTCCATTCAATCATGTAAATAGTTATACATTTATTCCTCTTTTCGCGATGAACCCATCTTTTTGGTGCAAATTTTAGCGTATTTTGTGGCGTTCTAATCGTTTTTCGAGATGCTGTCTGTGATGTGGGAATTCTCGTTGTTTTATTACTGGGTATTTGATGTTATTTGAGACAGTTTTATCAGTAAACTCACTATAATCAAGGTAGTAAAAGGATTTCAAGTTTATGCAACTCAAATCTGTGATTAGAAATTTCTAGCTCAGCATTAATTCCAAAAACATTTTTGCTTATGTTGCAAGAATTAAAAGTTGCTAATTGTAAGATTAATTCAGGGAAAATATTTGCAAGAAAGTTTGCAAGTTTTTTCTTGAATTAATCTTATAATTAGCAACTTTTAATTCTTGCATTGGCCCATTCGGCTATGCCTAGAGTGCGTTTCTCTTTTTCTGCATTTTAAAAGGCGCTTATTTCCGAAAACTACTGTGGTCTTCTGCATCACAATCTTCTTACGACAGTTTTTCTGAAATAGGTGCATTTTAGAAAACGCTTTTATTCAAGAGAAACGGCGCCGTGAAACTTTTTATGGGTTTTGTACAGTCACCAAAAAGTTTTCGCAGTTTCCCCCTTTTTCTCCATCATTGTCTAGATCGGTAGACATTTTCTTGAAAATTTCCTCAGCTTCTCCGTGATTCGCTTCTGGATTGGGTTGTCATGAAACGAGAGCGAAAAGCGCAATGTTTCCGGTATATACTGAAAAGTGTTACGGTATATACTGAAAAGTCAAATTTTGGAGTGTTATTTTAAAAACAATCGACAATGGAAATTAATGTGTTTTTCGTTTTACAATTAGAAATATCGGTTTAGAATTGATTGTGCTGAACGCAAAACCCCGATATATGACCAAGAATTGATTGTGTTCAATTGATTGCATTGATTTTGCGTATCGAATTTCTCATTGCTTATCGATTTTCCGCTTCGTTTATTCAAAACTCTTGAAACTCTTCGAACAATCCGGGAAGTGATTGGTGATTAGAGCAAAGAACGCACAACCCCGCACATATGACCAAGAGCCGAAACGCAACGCGTCTGGCAAACGCGTCGCGTTCTCTCTCTGTCTCTTTTCTTGATTGGGGACAACGGTGACGCAAGAAATTTTCTCATTTTTCCTGCTTTCAGTGATCGATTTTATCGATTGATTTCGGATATTTGTGTCCATTTTTAGGATTTCCCAATATATTTCCGTTTTTTCATCAATTTTTCTCGGCTTTTCAATTTGTGTGAATGCTTGTCCAGCTGTCAAATAGGCAAGAGTCAAATAGGAAACTTTCACACTTTTTTTTTCAATCTTTTCAGACAGAATAAGATTTTTAATTTGTAGAGGATAACTGTTTTTGAAAATCTCAATTTATTTTACTAGATTTACTAGTGAAAGCTACGAACTCAAGGTGAGTTTTTGTCTCGACTTTAAAGAAGCCGAAGTCTCTCTGTCTCGACTTTAAAGAAGCCGAAGTCTCTCTGTCTCGACTTTAAAGAAGCCGAAGTCTCTCTGTCTCGACTTTAAAGAAGCCGAAGTCTCTGTCTGGACCTAGTGCACTTTAAAGAACCCGAATCTACGCTATTAGTTCATAAAAATTAGCTTTTAAGAGGTTTTAAGGACTAAAATGGTGACGAAATGATATATATTACCCTTTGAAATCTAAAATTGAAACCTATCTATCATTTTTTGATATTTGAATGACAGTTCGTGTAGTAGAGTGTGTTCCTCGCGAGTAAGTAATTACTCGAGTAAATCTGCATGAGTAATTGTCGAATAATGCGTTTTCTAAAAAGTGCGCCTGCACGAAAAAGATATAAAAGTAATTTTTTGCGCAGGTTTTTCAAAGAATCATTTTTTACATTGGAAGGGAATTTCCCATCAAATCAGTTAAACGGAAAATTGTTTTGACAAAGAAATCAAAGAATTTTTTCTTATCATTATGAAAAAAGGGAAGTGGAGAAGAAAATAACAAAAATAGAGGGAAATTGAGAGATCTTATAGAAGACAAAGAGCTCGTCGTGGCTGGTACATTGGGGGAAAGGGGGCACCGGGCAAGGGGTCACGTGAACCCAGAGATCTCCCTCCCCTCCCCTCCCTCTATTTTCGACTCCAGCAATATTATCGCCCTGTCCTCCCTGTGACTTTTATTTTCTATAGTGCGACCCAATTTTAGCTCTCCTGAATTCCCAAGTCCATACAGCTTCACCAAGCTCCTTAAAAACGCTGGAACTAATCGTTCCATCGTTCGAATCTTAGCCAAGGATCTTTTCTGAGGTTGATATTCAAGATTGAGTAGAAAACTCGAGTCAGCCAGCATCTGCAAGAGCTATAGTTTCAATTTCTTGTATTTCAACGAATATTTGAATTCCCTGCACTATTCAGACGATCATTTAGCCGTTGAACGGTTTAATTTTTGCTGAGAAAACGAAAATTTCATTCAACTAAAGTCCTGAAGTCGAAAATTTCTTGAAATCCCATAAATCTTTGCCAGAAATCGATCCCTATTCTTTTGCCTTTTTGGATCTGTGTGCGAAAGAGAACTGGAAACATCGACATAAAGCGATTCGAATCGTTTTCTCCCCTCAAAACACTCCAACACTTCACAATCGATTAAAGCGAAAATCAGCTGGAATCTTCGATTTTGATTTCTAGATTCTTTTGAGAGTTTCTTGGTAGGTTTTTAATAAAAGAAATTAAAGTAGAATTAGATGAATTCGATTTTTCATACATTTCCCTGTTTCCCTTTATAATATTTGTGTTTTCAATAATCCAAAACTATAAAAAAGATACTTTGAAACTTTTTGAGAAGCAAGATAATTTTATTTGCTTTTTTTCTCTGTAGAATTTATATTCTTAAATATCTTCTATCAATTCAAAGCGAATTAATAAAAGAAATTCAAGTAGAATTCGATTTTTCATACATTTCCCTATTTCCCTGTATATTATTTGTGCTTTCAATAGTCCAAAACTATACAAAAGATACTTTTTGAGAAACAAGATAATTTTAGTTACTTTATTTTTCTCTAGAATTTATATTCTTAAATATCTTCTATCCATTCAAAGCCTCTTTTATAGATAGAAGGCTAAAAAGAGAACTTTTAAAGTCTTTGGAAAACTTCAAAAAATTTGTTGTCAATTTTTTGGATAGCTTTCTGAAAATCCAAATTTTCAGAGCTCTCAACTCGTTCTTTGCTATAAGTGTCCCCTTCCACGAGATGTCTTTCTCTCAAGCGGATGCTCCCTACGAGGTATTATTAATAAAATTCATAAAAATTACATATTCAATCCACAAATTCCATCAATTTTTACTTTCAGTGGTCCCCTGAAATCTTCGAGTATTACCAGTACGAGCCTCTCGACTCAATCTCTTCTTGGAGTGGCACAGACTACTCTCCTTCTACCACCTACTCTACAGTAAGTACAGCAAAGCAAAGCAAAGTACAGCAAAAGTCCAGAAATGAAAGCTTCCCCTTTAATCAGAGCTTTAAAGCTTTTACAAAGAAACTAGAAGGAATTAAGTATTTCAGAAGACGAGTGTTTCTAAATTGGAACGCACAAAAGACATTGTAAACATTGATACAATCAATTTTTCAGCTCTGCCAGTGCTGTGTTTGTTGACCGAACGGGTTCCTCGACTCAGCCAGACTCTCTCAGAAATGATTCCTTCTATGTAACTCCGTCAATCCCATCAACTCCATCAATCCCATCACTGACCCCAACGACTCCTTTCATCTACAATCAATCAATTCAACAATATGGCATCAATCAATCGAATCCCCAAAATGAGCTCAATCAATCGTCTTCGTATTTGTTAGGGCTGAATTCGCATCTCGATTCATCCATCTATCCACCGCACAATCTATCCACAAAAGTGAGTATGATTTGGGATTTAAATCTTCTATTGAGATCCTCTATTGAAAACTATTCTTTCCACTTATCCTGGAATGCAGAAAGAAAATTTGTATCAAGGGAATTATGAGGTAAAATGAGGTATGAGGTAAACGATGCTTAGTCAAGCTTATCAAGGGAATTATGAGGTACCCTAAAATCAGAATGAATACGAATTAAAATATGCTTTTTAAAATCATTCATCAGTTTAGCTGATGATTAAAATATCAGATTACGCATTAAAATTGAGTTATGAGTTAGAGTTATGAGTTTTAAGACCATCAGCTAATCTGATGAATGATTTTTTCAAATGATGAAAATTTTTAACCCATCTGGATATCACGATAGACTATAGACTTGCTAAAATTTTCATTCCCCCATTTTCAGACCGACGACCGCTTCTCTTTTTCAACTTTTGAGCCTGTACAGGCTGCCAATGGTTTCCCCACTTTTCCCAATTCTCAATCAAGCAATCCTGGGAAACAGGTAACAATATAGAAATAGAATTATATGCAAACTTCTTATTTTCAGTTCCCCCTTCTTGAGGACATTGAAATGTTTCTTGAAGAAGAAAAAAGATCGAAATCCGAGGAAAGGAATACCACGCCAAGTTCGGTAGGCATTTCAAGGGGCATTTCAAATCATTTCGATATTTATAATATGGAAAATCTCCCGTTTTTAAGAGAATACTCTGAATTCAGGATTATTCGTCATCCTCTGATGAGATTCTCATTCAAGATGGTGATGGTCGAATGCCGAAAAGAAGAGAAAAGAAAAAAGTGAGTGAAAAGAGCTCTAGACGATCAATCAAATCAAAAATCGTTTTTTTTTTGATGAACTTTATCGTAGGAAAGTTCCTAATAAGGCATTGAACTTTTCATCTTTTCATTTAATGATAAAAAGTTTTTTGAGAAATCAAATGATTGACCTTTTAGCAACAAAACCGTGAAGCAGCCACTCGATACAGAGAAAAGAAAAGGAAAGAGAGACAAGAAGCCAAACAAAAAGAAGATGTGCTCAGACAGCAAAATGAAGTCTTGAAGATAAAGGTGACGAGAATTTAAAGGAAATGATTGAGAGGCATTGTTGGAATGATACAGACTGGCTGAGAAGTTCTGTCCATCATTCAAAGCTTCTAAGAGTGTAAGAACCTCTAGTTTTATGAGTACGCAATTTTAAGCTGTACTCTAAACATAAAGGTACGTTAATGTTGATCGCAAAACTTTTCAAGCTTTATTTCTTGAGAGTATCAATTTCTGTCGCAGGGGAGGTTTTTAGAATTTCTTTTCTAAGCTTCTCTAGCCCTGAAGGGCTGAAGAGCAAAGTTATGTAGGTCACAAGAAAGAAGAAAGTTTTTTCTTTTCTTTAAAACCTTCCCTTACACAGCTAGATTGCTCTTAAATTAAACGATTTTGATAAGCTTAGACAAGTTTATCAAGGGAATTATGAGGTAAAATGAGGTTGAGGTAAACGATGCTTAGTCAAGCTTATCAAGGGAGTTATGAGGTTGAGGTAAACGATGCTTAGTCAAGCTTATCAAGGGAGTTATGAGGTTGAGGTAAACGATGCTTAGTCAAGCTTATCAAGGGAATTATGAGGTTGAGGTAAACGATGCTTAGTCAAGCTTATCAAGGGAGTTATGTGGTTGAGGTAAACGATGCTTAGTCAAGCTTATCAAGGGAATTATGAGGTACCCTAAAATCAGAATGAATACGCATTAAAATATGCTTTTTAAACAGAAAAAGCTTCGCAAAAACAACCATATAGAATAAAAATAGACAAAATTTCTAAATTTGAAGTCCATTTTATGTAATCTTTACACTTTCTTACGGTAACATCCGTTACATGTTACTTTTCTTACGGTAGCAATTCTTACAGCAACATTTCTTACGGTAACAATTGTGGACACAACTTTTCAGCTATAAAGTATTCGATAAGACAGTCTAAAGTCTTTTGTAGAACTCAAAAAGTTTAGCAACAAAGTTAATGTTATTTTTTCGATTATTGTAGGATTATTCTAGCGTTTTACTGTACTGTAGATTACTTTTTGAAGGTTACTATTGCTTTGAAAGCAGCATCTATAGCTTAAATTCGAAATGAAGGTTACTATAGCTTTGAAAGCAGCATCTATAGCTTAAATTCGAAACCATCTAAGCGACAAAATTTCGTTAAAATTTTAGTTTTTTGCATTCCAATTAGACAAATTCGATGAATTCGGAATTTTTTTTTGCAGAAAAAAAGCAAAAGAATTCTTTCAACTCAAAAATTTGGTTTTCATTCTTGATTCTTGACTCATCCATATTCTTAAAATCCTTTAATTCAAAGGATTATCCTTTTTTGAAATAAATAATCTTGAAATCTTGAAATCTTGAAAATCTTTTTAAATTAAAAAAATTTTTTTTTGAAACTACAAATGCTGAAAAAATTTGAGTCATATTTATTGAGCTAATCTGATGAATGAAAAGTTGTGAGCGATGAGATTTTTGACCTCAAAACTCTCAAAACGAGAAACATGCATTCCAGATCGGCGAAATTCAAACAGAGATCGACTACCTGAAGCGGTTGATGCATGAAATCGGCATGGACGACGAGCACATCAAATACATTTCACCTGTTGTTCCCCTATAAAATGTGATGTGATTTTTCGCAATCCTGGGCTACACACAAGTGTTTTCAAGCGAAAAAAAGATGGCTTTTGAACTTTTCAATATTTTCGAGTAGCTGGACGAGTTTAGCTGAATATCTTTTGAAAGGTTATTGCTTTTTAAAAACTAATCAGTTTTTCAGTCATCCTGGGATGCACAAGAGAAATTTTGAAATCTTTTATAGTCATCTTTTTATTGCTCGGAGTTTTTGTCGATCAGAACAAACATTGGGTAATGCATTCAATCCAAAATTTGCGCTTTCCACTTTCCGCGATTCAAGCTCAATTTCCCCATTCAATGCCCTCCAGAAGTCATAAAATTTTCGGAGTCGCATTGAAATTTGCGAATTAACCGATATAAATTCGGTGCTTCTCATTTCATGCCATATTTTTTTTGATTCGATTGATTGAAGCATTTCTTTTTTTATTCAAAATCTTTAGTGACATCCAGTTTTTATAAAACTTCACTCAAACTTTGTTTTTTCAACCTTTCCCTTCAAAATTTTGACAACAACTCAAATTTCCCTTATCTCGATTGACCTGGGCTGACCGGTGTGTAGAATTATCCATTTTTCTTTTTTCTTTTTTCATTTTCAATCATTCCCTGCAAATTTTTGATATTCGTGATATTGATTTATCTAGTGCAAGAAATAAAACGTAAAAAAAAGAATAAAAAAAACGATACCGGTAAGGGAAAAGACACTGAAAAAAGAAAAATTTACAAATTTGAATTTTTGACTTTTTAACAATCGCCAAGTTGAAGATCCCTCAGCAATTTCGCAGCAGCTTCTTTACCCTGAAAGTTTTTCTTTTCAAGTTTGCTGTTATTACATCGAAAACTGACAAGGGAATGTTTCAAAGTTAAGGTGATCGTTTGGGATGTCAAAAGGAGTTTATGTCAAAAGAATTCGTAGGACTATTGTCGGCTCGTCTCCCAAGACTCGAGACAAACCAATCAGCTTTTCTTTATTCAAATAGACTTCAGAAAATGTATCTTTATGGCACATATTCCTCATTTGCGTGTCAGTGTATAACTTTATTTATTGAAAACAAAGATAGGATGTGATATCACATTCGATAGATCTCATCATGAATGTTGATGACCAAAAAATTGATTCATTAAAGAGTTCACAAGCGCCACGAAGGAGGGGTCAAAAAAACGTCTATGTTGCTCCTTGGCCTCATTTATCGTTGTAGAGAGTTGCTTTCGGGAGCTTATTTTTTTGGTCATCAATATTCATCATGGAATCTATCGAATGTGATATCACTGATCCCAAACGATCACCTTAACTTTGAAACATTCCCTTGTCACTTATCCCAAATGGTAAGATTTGATCATTCTCTTGTGAGAATTTTTGTAAGATTGCGATTTTTTTTTGTAGCTATTGTAATCTTTATAATGATTTAAAATAGACTAAAATGATTACCGATTAGAATACCGATTAGATTTATCTAGAATACCAATTAGCCAAGCCAATCCAGGCACTCAGCCAACCATTTACAATAAAGATATCTTCCTTAATCCACCGTAACCCTATCATCTCGATCTTTTCCCATCCATCATATCATATCGATCTTTTTACCTTATCATCCACTGCATTCCTCGTCGTTGTGTGCACAGCTTTCTTGAGGTAGAATTTGCTTTCCTCAATTGAACCCTGTTCTTTCAAACATGCGCCCAAGTAGTAGAGATTTGAGGCAGAGAAGGATTCCTGTAAGATTCCTGTAAGATTCCTGTAAGATTTCTGTAAGAAAAATTCAGCTTTAACGCTAACCTGATAGAATATCTTAGAATCTAGATATCCCTGAGAAATCTTGATCTTAAAATTGCATTTCTTTAACCTACCTTTATACTTTCAGCTTTCTGAAAGCAGTGAAGCGCCTCATCATAGAATTTTTGAGAAAAACAACGAACTCCTGAAAAATTTTAAAGTCATCTCTGAGATCTCAATTCTTTTTACCTAACATATGCCATGCGTATGGATCATTTGGATTTGCATGAATCGCTCGACTAAGCATCTCGTCGACCACACGAGCCTTGTCACCCATTGCTAAAGCTTTAAGTAATCTTCAAAGCTTAGAATCTAGATATCCAACTATTCTGGACCTCACAGACTCACAGGGTAACAGATGCTTGTAGCAGTGGAAGCGGGAGATTTGTGCAGGCGCCAGTGTGCTGGAGTTGGGTTTTGCGGGGATGCGATGAAGGTATCGAGATTTTGAGTTGATATTCATCGATGCTGGATGTCACTTATATAGGGTAGCCGCTTCCGAAGCCCCACCCCAATCTGATCCATCCTTCACTCCTCCCCAATCTGATCCATCCTCCACTTCTCCCCAATTATCTCCAGACTGACGCATCCTTTCTCTAATCTTCTCTTTTAGTGTTTCTTTTGATGTTTTTCAATTTTTTGGGCTCCAAATGAATCTCCGGATTATCTCGTCTTTCAATTCCATGTGATTGACTCAAAAAAAAATTTCGAAGTCAATGCTCTATTGGCTGCGTAGGTTCAACAAATAATATTGGTTTTATAAAATGGAATTGAATTGAATGAATAGATATTTTTAGATAATTGAAAGAAATCATAGTTCAGAAGTGAATTGGGGAATGGAAAAGAAAGGTTGCTTGGTGGGTGACTTGCTGGGTGACACCAAGGTGGGTGCTTGGTGGGTGACACCTTGGTGGGTGCTTGGTGGGTGACTTGCTGGGTGACACCAAGGTGGGTGCTTGGTGGGTGCTTGGTGGGTGACTTGCTGGGTGACACCAAGGTGGGTGCTTGGTGGGTGACTTGCTGGGTGACACCAAGGTGGGTGCTTGGTGGGTGCTTGGTGGGTGACTTGCTGGGTGACACCAAGGTGGGTGCTTGGTGGGTGACTTGCTGGGTGACACCAAGGTGGGTGCTTGGTGGGTGACTTGCTGGGTGACACCAAGGTGGGTGCTTGGTGGGTGACTTGCTGGGTGACACCAAGGTGGGTGCTTGGTGGGTGCTTGGTGGGTGACTTGCTGGGTGACACCAAGGTGGGTGCTTGGTGGGTGACTTGCTGGGTGACACCAAGGTGGGTGCTTGGTGGGTGACTTGCTGGGTGACACCAAGGTGGGTGCTTGGTGGGTGACTTGCTGGGTGACACCAAGGTGGGTGCTTGGTGGGTGACTTGCTGGGTGACACCAAGGTGGGTGCTTGGTGGGTGCTTGGTGGGTGACTTGCTGGGTGACACCAAGGTGGGTGCTTGGTGGGTGACTTGCTGGGTGACACCAAGGTGGGTGCTTGGTGGGTGCTTGGTGGGTGACTTGCTGGGTGACACCAAGGTGGGTGCTTGGTGGGTGACTTGCTGGGTGACACCAAGGTGGGTGCTTGGTGGGTGACTTGCTGGGTGACACCAAGGTGGGTGCTTGGTGGGTGACTTGCTGGGTGACACCAAGGTGGGTGCTTGGTGGGTGACTTGCTGGGTGACACCAAGGTGGGTGCTTGGTGGGTGCTTGGTGGGTGACTTGCTGGGTGACACCAAGGTGGGTGCTTGGTGGGTGACTTGCTGGGTGACACCAAGGTGGGTGCTTGGTGGGTGCTTGGTGGGTGACTTGCTGGGTGACACCAAGCAACTTGCTTGTTTTTCAAATTCTTTTAGTTGCTTGGTGGATGACTTGGTACGTTTTTTAAAATCAAATTTTCATTCAGTTAAAAACTTCAAATCATGCGAGATCTTTGCCATTATATTCAATGTTTTTTTGCTCATTTTATTGATAAAAATCGAATGCCTCTCTCATAGAAAATCTTTGGTTTTAACGTAAATCAATCTGTCAGCCATTTTTTGAGCTCTTCTTTTGAATCAAAGTGTTTGCCAAATCATTGCTCATCGCCCAGAACCAGTAGAAGGTGCAGAGCTGTATGCTGGATGGGGGAACCTTTCATCCAAGTGAGATCAATGTAGAACGAGTCCTCCTCAAAAGATGTGGACTAGCATTATCATGTTGAAGAATGATTTTTCTCTAGCAAAGATTTGGCTAACTTTTCAAATTGCTTCAAATATTTGATTAAGTTGAAGTCTTGCTATTCAAAATTTCCCAATAGATCAGGTCTTCAAAATCCAGAACACCAAGAGCATAAACTTCTTATGCGCATTTGGTTTGACGTCGGGTTCGGGCTTTTCCTTCTCAGCAATCCAATCTTTTTCTCCGAAAGTTGACATCTCCCATTACAATAAAGGGCAAAAAAGTTTTGCGCTCGTATCGAGAAAGATGAGCGGCACTGCTTTCTGACAAGTTTCTGACAAGTTGCCATTTCTGGGTGTCCATTAAATCATGTGGAATCCAAGTTCCTAAAACGGTTTAAACCCAATTGCAATGTTCGAGTATTATTGTATGATCAACTGATAATTCTTCTGCTATTTCACAAAAAGAGAGCCTTTTGTTGGTTTGAGGAACTTGGCATTATCCAGTTGAGCTCCAGCTGAACTGCTGGGCCTCTTGTCTTCGAAGATTCTTAGAATGGAATTTAAAAAAACCAGTTTGCACATGTTCGTAGTGGAGCTGATCCTTCTACATAAGCATTCTCTATGTTAGCTGAACAGTGGAGGTCCTTGTGTGCTTGTAGAAATTCGTATAACATAAAGTTCTGATCCTTCTACATAAGCTGATCCTTCTAAGAGCTGATCCTTCTACATAAGCATTCTCTACATTAGCTGGACAGTGGAGGTCCTTGTGTGCTTGTAGAAATTTGCACAAGATAATGCAGATTTCCAGGTGCTAGATTTTCAATAGTTAGAACAAAGTAAAATTCAAAAAACGAAATCCGTTGAAAAGTGAAAGTTCATTTGTCTATTTTCCACAAACTCCTCTGCCTCATATTTCTTTACATTTGTGGGATTTAATTTGAAAAAAACATTCCAAATCAAACCCACAGTTTTTCCAGAGATTTTGCACTTTCTTTCTAAAGATATCGAGCACTTTTAACTTGAATTTGAACAACTCTGTTACGGCAAAAAATTTCTTGACAACGGTTTAAAGCTTACAAAATTACCAAGATCTGCTATTAGATAAAAATTGAAACTTTTAATGTTGTTCTTAAAGTCACTTTAAGCAAATTTAGTGGCATTTTTCACTAAATTTTTTAACAGAGTCGTTCAAAGTGAAACCAAGGCAGAGAGGTCGAAGAGTGAACCGAATTTGCAAAGTTATTTCATCTAAAGTTGCTAAATTTCAAATAGAATATGTCTTGTAAGTTTACACGAAAGAATTCAAGAGATTTTGATGAATTTTGAACTGCTTTATTGTTAAAAAACTTCTTTTTTTACTTAAGTAATTGAAGTTAATTTAAAATTCATTCTGAAGTCTCCTTTCTGAGTTAGGCTTGATCATTTGATGTCTTATCTCATCTTATCTCAAAAAAAAATTTAGAATAAATCCCATAAACACTCACAAACATGTTGATTGAGAAAGAGGATTTAGATTTAGATTAGATTTTGGGTTAAATCCGGCTGTGAAAAGGTCAAAATTGATGTCGGATTGACGCATGAAAAAAGAAGTAAACAAATCAGAGTCAAAAAACGGATTTCTCTTCATTTTTGATGTTGGTTGAGTGAATGAATGAAATTTAGAAATTTTGATGAATCAGAGATTTTGTTTTAAAGCTTATTCATCAAATTTATATAGCTTATAACAGTTTTTTTTTTCCTTCAAATTCCCTAACTAATCGGATTTAAATGGAAATTTTTGAATTCTGGATAAATCCCCCAAAGAAATTCCCCTTGTAAACAAATGCTTTCTAGCGTGTGTTTACGAACATTTCTAGCATTTTCTAGCACTCGATTCATTGCTGTTGCTTCAGGAAATTAGCATATAGAAGAGCTAAGTACAAATTGATGTTAAATTCAACAAACTTTTGATCTTAAGCTTTGGCTAGGGTCTCTTTTCATCCCTGAATCATTGTATCAAAACTTTTTGAAAGCTGTCAAAGCTGTGTCAAGTCTAGTAATCAGTGAGTACAAAGCAAAGCTAATCAATACCTTTAATTTTAACAAGTTTAAGCTCAAATTGCTTTTCGATAAGCAATTGCTTTTAGGAATCGATCGATTCCAATCACGTGAACAACGCTGAAACTTGAGCTTTCTATTAGGTTGATGCAAAAGTCTTTTTCATTTTTTTCGTATTTCTTTTGAAAAATAACAAAGTCATCAATTAACCTATGGTTTGCTCTAAATGAAAAGTGTTTATTGTTGAATTTCCCATCTTTTTAAGTCAATTTGGGTTCACTTTGAAGCAAATTCGAGAGTGAAAACGGGTTTTTCATAAAAATCTATAAAAACCTCTATAAAGAAATTGGCTGAATGAATTTCTCTGAAAATCTGAAAAAATATCGAACTTTTTGTGCTCTATCTTTTATTTATTAACATCAAGATTGGTTTCCTTAGCTAAAGCGTCTAAAATGCATCATCGAGCCTTTTTTGACTACCCGACTTCAGGCTCTCAAAAAAATCTAGACATAAGACATTTTAAACTCGTTTTAATGTCATTTTGCAGAAAAATAATTGGCCTTTCGAATGCAATAAACCGTTGTTCAATTCGTGCATTTGTTACTTTTTAACGGAAGTACGAAAAAAATGAAAAAGACTTTTGCATCAACCTAATAGAAAGCTCTTCAGCAACAAGAATACCAATGTTTTGCTGACAATTGTCTTCAAAGTAATCTGATTTTTCTAGGCTTCTCCTGGTTTAATTTACCCACAAAAAAAGGTTTTACTTGTCAGAAAATAGCTCTAAATTGACCTGCCTCTAAACAAATGCTTTCTATTGGGTTGGGGAGAATGAGTCGGCGCCGAAAATGAAAAAAATGTCTAAAACTTCAATTCGACTTCGTGAAATAATATGCGTTTGATACTCATAGAATGGTTAACAAATTCTCTACAAAATGACATTTAAAAGAAAATTCAAACAGCGCCTCCGCTCAAGAAAAAGCCATTTTTTCACAAAAACTACAAACTGTGATCTAGAAAAAAACATTGGTGGGATCTTCCTGCAAATTTGGCAACTTAAGTAATTGAATGTGCTCTATCTTTTTTATATAAACACTAAAGAAGGTTTATGTGAAAGAAACTGTTCAAATGATGAGTCGGACTCTTTGCCATTTTAACCAGCTGCGTTTCGAAGTTCATAAACTCGACGAAAGAAAAGCTTTGTGGAATCTCTCAAAAGTGATTTTGTAGAGAAATAGTGGATCCTTTTGATGAAACCAAACGTATGTTTAAAGAAGGCTTTATGTGTGCAAAAAGTCCCTTTAAAGTTTGGCGCCGACTCATTCTCCCCAACCCAATAGAACACTCGATTCATTGCTGTGCCAGGAAATTAGCATATAGAAGAGTTCAAAGTA